CTCTCGCTGTGTCTCTCTCTGTCAAATAAATAAATAAAATCTTTAAAAAAAAAAAAAAAAGAAAGTGCTTATACTCACTTGAGCTATTTGTTTGTTTTTTCTTAAGATTTTATTTGTTTGAGAGAGAGAGAGAGCGAGAGAGAGCACAAGCAGGGAGAGGGACAGAGGGAGAAGCAGACCCCTGCTAAGCAGGGAGCCTGATGTGGGACTAGATCCCAGGATGCTGGGATCATGACCTGAGCCGAAGGCAGACTCTTAACCGACTGAGCCACTCAGGCGCCCTTGAACTATTCGTTTTATAACAGTATGTTTCTGGAGTGAGTGTATGACTACTGTAAATTGAAGCAAAGGCGCCAAGAGGCAGGACAGTAGCAATTTAGTACATGTAATCAGGGTTTAGGCCAATTCCCTCACTTTATGGACTTTGAAAGCAAAAGTTGTATAATCCACGGTTGAAGTCTTCTTTAAGAAATCTGTGTATTTGAGGGCAGCCTCTGCGGCCTGCAATGTTTTTGGGATTCTGCTTGGGAATTCCAGGCTTTTTCTTATCAGGCGGCTTATCCGTTTGTATATGCGGACATGCTTTAGCACAACGGTTCTCAAAGTGCGACCTGAGAACCCCTGGGGTTCCCTGAGACTAGTTTGAAGGGGTCACCGGGTAGGATTGAATCACTGACTAGATGTTACAATCTGGTTTTATCCCTGGTTACCTTTCACTTTTCACCAGGGATCTACCAACTCCTCAACTCCTTCCCACTTTGTATTTGTGTGTTCACTTTAATGAGGGCTGAATTCATTTATATCTAATCGGAACTCTTGGTGTATTGTGGTAAATAACCTCTTATGGAGGGAAAAGGTCACAGACCTAGGGCTGTAGTTTTCTGTCAGGACTGACTGTGCTGTGTTGGTGTTGGGTAAAATGTCTGTTAGCTTTCCCCTCTTTTTGTTTTCTTATTAAAAGAAAAGAACTATACTGGTTATTAACTATTAACTATACTGATTATTGTTATACTTATTAAAAAAAAAAAGAACTATATACTGGAGCAGTAATTCTCAAACTTTGTTGGTCCCAGGATCCCTTAAAAATTAGGATCCCAAAGAGCTTTTGTTCATAGGTGTTATATTGATTCATATGTATTGTATTAGAAATCAAAACAGAAAAGTTTAAGCCACAGTGATACAGAAGTACACATGCCATTAATAAGCCTTCAGGGCAAGGTGTCACCACACATCATGTGGTCTCCGGAAAACTCCCCTGTGCTCTGTGAGAGAGAATGAGAGTGAACTACTTTAGAAAATCTGACCTGGTGAGCCCTTCAGACTGGCCTCAGGGAACCCCAGGGGTTCTCAGGTCGCACTTTGAGAACCATTGTGCTAAAGCATGTCCACAATTTACTGCAGTTTCTTTTATCAAAATCGAAGAATTTGGTGGGAAATACCTTGGCTTGAAGGAAACACTTTGCAGAATTTGTGATCTGAACCCACATTATCTCAGGGCCCTTATTTTGTCCTTTTTTTTTTGCCCCCAGAGACTCTACTAACTCTGCTCTTCTCTCTGGATTGTCCCATAGATTCCCTGTAAGGAGCGCCTGCTGGTGTGCCAGACCTACCGGGGGCTGTCTACCCGACTGCCCCAGACTCCGGCAACGGGGCCCCCGATGGCAGTGGGCACCTCCCCGTGAAACCTGCCAAGCTGGACGCCACAGCTCCGCACGACGACACTTTGGCCAACTCTTTGCCCCCTTTGGAGGCGTGCAACCATGCAGTCCTAGCCTGCAGCCCGGGCATCCCTGAGGAGCACTATGTAAGCGAGGCTGTGGAAGATGCTCCCAGCTGCAGAGGGTACCGGGATGCCTGCACCATCACCGGTAAGGGGGCCTTTCCTGCCTGGGACGGAGTGGGGGGCCCAGGGGCGTGGCCACAGGGGTGGGTCTGGGGGAGGTGTGAAGGGCCAGGGAGGAAAAGTCTGAGTGCAGAGAGTCTGAGCTTTGGGATTCCGAGCCCCACCACGGAGAACCCACGTGAGATGAAGAATCGCCGCGAAGGTTAAGGATGGGAATTTTGAACCCTGAGCAGCCTGTAGCGATGCTCAGTGTAGTTTGGTGCCCCCCCTCTCGCTGAGGCTCAGTGTCTGATTCACACATAAAGATAGGTGGAATGGAGATCACACATGACTGCCTTGTGGGGTGCAAACCTGGAGAACTGCTTGTGGTGCCCGGCACCTACTGCCAAGGCTTGCCTGGGTAGCGCTTCCTACAGATGCCTGCATCGGTCACACCTTCCCCATGTCCCAGGAGCAGAGTTCATCATGCTGGAGCTCTTGCTTGTTCCTTTCCCCCCGAGGGATCATCGGGACAGGGCATGCAGGGGCTCCAAGCAGATATGGTGTAGTCTGGGGTGCGCAAACAGCAGCGAGGAGCATTGTTAGAGTTACATCCAGATGCCTTCATATCAAAGTTCGCCCTGGTTCTCATTTTGTCTGCAGTGTTTACTTTTCTCCTCCTGTTTGAAATAATGCCCGATGACAGCTGAAAATGTGCAGATTTGCTTCCAGTAGCTTTCCACTGCTCTGTCTCACAGTTAAGCCTGGGGGACCTCCTGTGTGTCAGGAGTGTTCCGAGTACAGAGGGCCACCGGGATGGCCCAGGATCCCTTGTGCTGGGCTCCGGCCCCACGAGTGAGTGGCCCTCCGGCTGCTCATGCACGGAATCCCACCCCTGCTGGCCTGCCCACTTCTGGAAGGAGATACTTCCTCCAGCTCCTCTCTCTCCACGTCTTCCGTTTCCCCTTGCTCATGGAGCTCTCCTGTGAGCACAGAAACGTGCTGTGATCTCTCCCTCTGTAAAAAGACTCGTTTGCGGCCCCCACAGCCAGTGCCCGTACCCATGTCTCTGTTCCTCTCTGTGTTCACTGCATCTTCTCTTCTGTGCTCACCTGTGTCCAGTGCAAACAGGCTGCGAGCCCACCATTCCCCCAGCACTGAGGGCCTCGTCCAGTGCAGGGGTCCGTCCTTAGGCTTCATCTTCTTACCTTTTCAGCAGGGGTTGACACTGGCGACCACTCCCTTCTGGAAATCGAGTCCTCCCTTGGATCCCTGATGCTCCTATTCTCCTACCTTGCTGGCTGCTGGTCCTCCCGAGCCTGGGGATGTTGGAGGGCCTGGGGCTCAGTCCTTCTAGCCCCTCACCCTCTCATCAGCACCCGTGCTCCAGGTGATCTCCCCCAGTCACCAGGATTTAAAATCTGCCCCACACTGACCCCTGTCCTGCTCCTGTCCTCAGACTAATCCTCTCCCCTGGAGGCCAGACATGTTGGTTTAACTCCACATACAACATCTTCGCCTGGGGGTGCCTGGGTGGCTCAGTTGGTTGAGCGACTACCTTCGGCTCAGGTCATGATCCCAGGGTCCTGGGATCGAGCCCCGCATTGGGCTCCCTGCTCGGCCAGAAGCCTGATTCTCCCTCTCCCACTCCCCCTGCTTGTGTTCCCTCTCACGCTCTCTCTCTCTCTCTCTCTCTGTCAATTAAATAAATAAATAAAATCTTAAAAAAAAAAAATCTTCGCCTGGATGCCCATAGGTATCTTAAACTCGAACAGCCAAAAATGAATCGATTTCCACCTCCGCCTGCTTTTCCTGTGGTCTGCCCTGTCTTTATAAATGGTACTCCTGTCCTTCCAGTTGCCCAGGCCAGATACCTCGGAGGCATCCATGACCTCCGTATCTTTCACACCCCAGTTTGCTGGGAAGTCTGTTGGCTCTGTCTTCAGCGTGTCCAGAATTTGACAGCTTCTCACCAGCTCTACGGCATCTACCCTGTTCCATGCCACCTTCCTCTTACGTCTGGATTATTGCAGTGACCTCCTAATTGGGCCTCCTGCTTCCCTGCTTGTTTCTGTGCAGTCTGTTCTCTGTCTGCCCACCAAAGAGGCTTTTTAAACACACAATCAGATGATTTACTTAACTCTTCTGCTCCAGACCTCCAGTGGGCTCCTATCTGACTGTGGCGGGTTGCGGTCTCAGTGACAGGGCTTTCCCACCCCTCTGACTGTCTCATCTGTGCCCACTCCACCCCAGACACACTGGCCTCTTTGCTAATCCTTGGACTCACCAGGAATGTGCTGCCTCAGGGCCTTTGTTCTTGCTGCTGCCCAGCACCTGGATCACTTTACTGCCCCGATGTCCTCATGATTCCCTCTTCACTTTCTCCAAAGGGCACTTCATTAGAGGCCTTTTCGTGACTGCCCTTCTCCCTTTCCTGGGACTTAGTCATGAGCTACTATGTGTTCGTATTTTAGGGCAAGGACTTTGTGCAGCCCTGAATCCCAGGGACTAAAATAGCACCTCACTAAGGCTAGTGCTTGGCAAGTGGGGTCTATTATCCCCTTTTTACAGGTAAAGAGACTAAATCATGAGAGGTTCAGCATCCTGCCTAAGATCCCTGAGCTCTGAGGGGTGAGATTTGCGTGCAGGTTGTGACCCCGGAACAGGAGTTCTCGGCGCCCCCAGGAATACAGTCCAGTGGGGTGGACAGATGAGCAAGTGAAAATGGACAGTGCACTGTGGTTAGCACAGTGATAAGCACGGGCACATGGGAGCACGCTGAGGGGGGTGCCTGCCCAAGCCTGGGAGGGGGAAGGTTGGGGGAGGACCCATAGGGCTTCCTGGCGGAGGCAGTGTCCCAACTGCGTCCTCATTTGTCCAAGCATGTGAACTAACCCCCAGGCTTCCAGTGGCATCTGTGCCAAGCGAAATCCAGGAAACATTCAGTCTGTTGAAATAGTTTCACTTTCTCTGAACGTGACATTCGAGGACAAAGAAATGGTAGAATGCAGTGCTGGAACTTCAAACGCCACAGGGCGTGGTGCCTGGGGGCCCTTTGCTGGGACGTCAGTGGCAAGCCCCGAGGACAGCTGAGCAGCAGAGCTCAGTGCTGTCCCGTTTGGTGGTGGCTCAGTAAACAGGAGTGCACAGACCCTGTTACATGTTCAAGGTGCTGGGCAGCCCGATGATGCCTGCTTCCCTGCTTGTTTCTGTGCAGTCTGTTCTCTGTCTACCCACCAAAGAGGCTTTTTATTTTTATTTCTTATTTTTATTTTTTTAAAGATTTATTTATTTATTTATTTATTTGAGAGAGAGAGAATGAGAGACAGAGAGCATGAGAGGGAGGAGGGTCAGAGGGAGAAGCAGACTCCCCGCCGAGCAGGGAGCCTGATGCGGGACTCGATCCCAGGACTCCAGCATCATGACCTGAGCCAAAGGCAGTCGCTTAACCAACTGAGCCACCCAGGCGCCCGAAAGAGGCTTTTTAAACACACAATCAGATCAGGAGAACCTGCTCAGGTTCAAATCTTACTAGATGGTCATTGAGAGGAGGACACAGAGTGAAAAATATTCTTGGAGAGACCTGGAGTGTCCCCAAGAATGCCTCTGTGCCTCCAGGGGCTTTGCAAGTGCAGTCCCTAGAGCCCACTTGGCATCAGGCCTCTGATAAATACCCTCCGCCCCCGGTTCCCAGCGAGCAGTGAGGTGAACAGAAGACTTTTTGTTCCTCTTTTGTTTTTAGGCAGAGCCCAATGTCCAGCACAAAGCCCTGCTCCCCTCCTCCCACCCCCAACTTAAGGATATCACATTTTGGGGTGCGTCATTTTCTCTTTGGGGCGGTTTGACAAGATGAGCCGATAGGGTGCCCAGGCTGCCTGGAGTTACGTAACCCATTGTGCCTCCGGAGCAGCTTGCAATCTTAGGATTTGCCCCAACAAGCAAACCGAGAAAGCTGCTGAGGAAGGCACAGGAGGGTAGCTGTGCCGAGGTCCTGCCCGCGCTGGGGTTCTCATGGAGAATCCCCTTTCTCACTGAACTAACTGCCTTTGGAGTTGATTTCTGTACATGGCATTGGTACTTCAGTTCGGGCAGCCCGTCGGGGCCCAGCCTCTGCCAGGACTTGGCCAAGGCAGGCTCATTCGGACAGACTCCTGTGGTAAGTTGTCTGCTGTTTGTTTTCTCTGCAGTGTGGCCGGAAAGGAGAGGAGACCACAGGAGAAGTACTGTCTCTCCTGCCCTGTTCTGCTTGGTGGTTCGTCCTTGGGCACGTGGTGGGGAAATTGCAGTATCGCATCATCGAAGGGCAGAGCCGAGGGTCCTTAGAGGCTGCTGCCGCCTCGTCCCCTCATCCCCGAGGCTCAGGGGAAGCAGTGACACGCGGCCGAGAGGGGCAGCTCTGAGTTGAGACCAGGCCTCCTGGGCTCCCACCACCTTCCCCCTTGTGGTTCTTTGCAGCAGCTAAACAGGGAGGGTCTCCAAGCCCTGCTCTGGCCTCTCCAGCTCTTCAATTTTTCCTAATTCTGTGTCTTCATCCTGGTTTTTCAGAACCTCATCTGGCATCTGGGTCAGTGAGGACTTTTTTGAAAGGCGAAGAACAGAGTTAGCGTCTCCCTTCCTCCTCCTCTCTTTTCTGCCTTTCCTTTTTTTTTTTTTTTCTTTGCTAAGTGTGCTTGGCCCCGTCCGTACCTCTGATCCACACCCCAGTGATGGAGAGCTTGCGAATCAGCTCTGCTCTGGCTTGTCTCCCCTGCTGTGGGGCCGATCAGAGTCCGATGATGGATGAGTGTCTGGTATCTGCCCTGTCTACATGCTGTTACCAAGAGCTGTCTGGGCTCAAACCCAGTAAACCGAGAGGCGAGCCCCTCTCGGCCTGTTCGAATTGGTTCAGTTTTCAGGACATTTAAGAGTTTGGAGGAGAGATGATGGGGTGCTGTGTGTGTGTGAGTGTGGGGGGCTACGTAAAGCTCCTTCAGGCATGTTCCATGATTCTGACCGAATCAGAGTAGCTCCTCAAGGCCAGCGTTTTGCTGGGGTCCAGCATGAGAA